CACTGCAAAGGGCCTAGGAAAAGCAGTGGAAGATGGCCCAAGTACTTGTTCCTTTGCTACCTAAGAGGCCTGGAAGAAGCTCCTGGCTTTGCATTGGCCCAGCTCTGGCCCTTGTGGCCATCTGGGGAGTGAATCAATGGATAGAATATCTCTGTGTGTGTGTGTGTGTGTGTGTGTCTCTGTAACTCTTCCAAATAAATAAATAAATCTTTAAGAATAAAGATGTTTTCCCTACCTTCAGATCACAGTCAACCAATGGGTAAGCTGTTAGGTACAAGCAAGAGCAGGGGAAATTTAACACTCTGCTGCATCCATAGAAGGTTAGACACCTGATACAAACCGCAGCTGTAGATGATGCAGCCACTGCCCAAACCATAAAAGGAGGAAGCAGGGTTGTGAAGGGGGAACAAATACCCTATTCTCTCTCTGCTCTCAGCCCCTGACAACCTGTAGTGTTTCTCCATGTTGAAAGATACTAGAGGCCACTGGGGAACAGCTCCTGAGTGTGGGACCCAGTCTTTATTGGCTTTGCTTCCATGACACAAATGGACAGAGAATGGAGAAAAATAGATCTGAAGTGGAGATGAAAACAGGCCAAGAAATAGGCACAATAGTTGATCTCTCTGAGCCTCTTCCTGTTCTTATAAATATGAGTATCTCTAGCAGTCCTGGCAAAATATGGATAATCCCTAAAGAGACTTTCTCTGGGATAGAAATGCTTCAAATCACCTTACAGGTTTGTTTCAAAATAATATAGGAAAGAAGAAAATTGGTGATGATATAAATGAAGTAAGATTGGCCATGTGCTGATAATTATTGAAACAGTATAAATACAAGGGAGGGTGCAAAATTGTGTCTTTCATATATGTTTATAGGTGTGTCTTTTTATATATGTTTAAACTTTTCCAATAATAACAATTTTTAAAGAGAATTTAACCCTAAAATTGTTTTAGGGGAAATGAAAATTTTATAGTCATCTCTGCATCTTGCAGCTCACTTCTCTTTACATTTGTACGAATCCTTGGGTTTTGCTCCCTGAAGACCAATGAAAGCCAGGAGTGAATAAGTGCCCTTTGCCACTGTATTTAACATGCAAAGCTTTATAATTCATGGTCCTCATTGACCAAGCTAATGTCCCAACTCAGTCCTAAGGGGGATTCAGAGTCAATAAACTAATTAAAAGTCTTTAAAAGAGAGTTCTATTCTTATCCACCCTCAAATGTTTTATTTGAAGTGCTTCTATGAATTCAGAGAAAAAGATATTATGAGATTTCATTCTGTTAGAGCATTAAAGCACCAAGAAATCACATTAAGTGGCCTTGTGATGACTTTAATTAGGGCAAGCTGACAATCAGCAGAAGACCAGCTCACTTGCCACCTCTTCCCTTAGAGTTCACATCTCTCTCTCTGTCTCTGTCTCTCTGTGTGTGTGTGTGTGTGTGTGTGTGTCTCTTTCACACACTCACACACACAGACATACACACACCCTAGAAACTTCTAGAATATTCAGTATCAGTGTTGAGATCAGCTCTGCCCAGCTTCTTGGCATTTGGCTCTGCCACCTTCTTCCTTTCTGAGAGCGAGCCCTGGTGGTCCTGCAATGGACTAATGCCCGTGGGAAGGTGGAGAGCATGCATGGGTTGAGGAAAGAGGCTCTTGGCCTGTAAAGATGAGTTCCCCTGGTCTCAGGAATCCATCACTGGTACAACTCGAAGTCCTAGAGGTGCCTTGCGAGCCTTTACATAAAATTTTCATTGACCCCATTTTCCACTTTCACGGAGCCAAGTATCTCCAGGATTCTCCTCCATCAGAGAAAGTTTGTTGGTGTCCATAGAAAACTGTGGCCTTTTGAAATGGGACTTTGCTTCAAATTTCTCAGCAGTTTTTCTTGAGATAGATGGAGGGTAAAAGGGAATTGCTACAGTTCAGTGTGTGACTATTTTCTCCATCCTTCTGTCTTCAGAATCGTGCTCTTAGAAAAGCTGAGTTCATCACCTCTGCTTTCCTGCAGGTGGAGCAGGAGGGGGCGATATAAAGCACAATTCTTTCCTAAAATCAAGTGCTATTCATGGCCCTTTTCTCTGGTAGTGTGGAGTAGCAGTCTTGCTTCCTCCCCTGCTTCTGCATGACTTTCAATGGTTCCCCTTGAGAATAACAGGTCATTGCTCCCAAAAGAAATGATCCCCCCAAACAATTTGTCATCTCTCACCATAAAGGACAAGTGATGATGTGCTTTATATCTTAAACTGAGTTTAGTGACAAAATGAACCACTAGAATTAGGCACCCTTGGGGCCGGCGCTGTGGTGCAGTGGGTTAATGCCCTGGCCTGAAGCACTGGCATCCCATATGGGCGCCAGTTCTAGTCCCGGCTACTCCACTTTCAATCCAGCTCTCTGTTGTGGCCTGGGAAAGCAGTGGAAGATGGCCCAAGTCCTTGGGCCCCTGCACCTGCATGGGAGACCCAGAAGAAGCTCCTGGCTCCTGGCTTTGGATCAGCGCAGCTCCGGCCATTGTGGTCAATAGGGGAGTGAACCAGCAGATGGAAGATGTCTCTCTCTCTCTCTCTCTCTCTCTGCCTCTCCTCTCTCTGTAACTCTGACTTTCAAATAAATAAATAAAGCTCTTTCTCCATTGCTGCAGAATAGCCAGCAGCTTCCTTGTTCAAAACCCTCAGAAAGGGCTCATGCAGGTGTTTAAATTTTTTAGGGTTTATTTATTTATCTGAAGAAGAGAGAGAGAGGGAGAGAGAGAAAGACAGAGAGAGAGAGAGAGAGAGAGAGAGCTCTTCTATCCACTGGTTCACTCCCCAAATGGCCTCAGTAGCCAGATCTGGCCAGTCCAAAGCCAGGAGCCAGGAGCTTCATCTGAATCTCCCCGCGGGTGGCAGGAGCCCCAGCTTAGGCCATGTTCTGATGCTTTCCCAGGCACATTAGCAGGGAGCTTGATGAGAAATGGAGCAGATGGGAATTGACCCAGTGCTCATGGGATCCCTGTGTCTCAGGTATTTGCTTAATCCAGGGAGCTGGATTGGAAGTGGAGCAGGACTCCAACAGGTGCTCCAATATGGGATGTCAGCAATGCAGGAGGTAGTTTAACTTACTACACCACAACACTGGCCTCTAAAGAAAATTTTCACTGATGGCATATTCCTTCCTGAAATGAATTTAGCAAGGAAACAAACTTCCAGAACTAAACACCCCTTTGCAGCAGAACATGGAGTAGCTTCCTTATTCAAAACCCCGAGATAGGTCTCACGTGGTTTTTCTTGTAAGGAGGGTGGGGCTGATAGAGCCAGGATGGAGCTGAGCCTCTTCCTCATCAGCATTTGTGCCATCAGCTAAAGATCTGGGTTGCAGGAACAGGTGGCTCCTTCCACACCATGATGCAGGGGATCTTTTGCCACAACGGCTAGATGTGTGTGTGTCTGTTTAGGGCTGCAACTCCATGCTCTGAAGTGGTTTGACACAATTGTTGGTTCTAGTGGTGTTGGATATGGTGACTAGAATCTGAGGCGCTGGGAGTCCAGAAGGAAGATGACTTCTGTCTTATGTTGTTGGCTTGCATCCCATTCTGTTTCCAAACATGCAAATAACACTGGCTTACCGGGTGTCGAATACAGGAGATGGGAGACTGCAGGTGACATGCTATTCAAATGTTTTCTCCTCCCCAGTTTCATTCAAACCCAGAATTGAAATGGCCCACCCCACCCCCAGCTTGGTGGATTTTCATAAACCAGTGCCACACCAGGAACAAAGTTGCTCAAGGCCTGTAAATGGCCGTTTGTGTGGTGTCCAGCCTGAGTGGGGAGAGGTGGTAGAGAGAAGAAGCAGCTCTTCTCTTTCTTTGTAGGCCCACTCAGCTCTCCTGGGCCTGGGTGGCAGCCTTCTAACCTCAGGAGCATGTGCCTGCTCTGTGCTCCTTGGACCCCACAACGCATACAATCACTACCACTCTTAGGAAGCTCCAAGAGATGCCAATTGGATACTGCCTGTATTGTTTGGGAATCCTTCTGCAAATTCCCCGGTAACACAGGCTATCCCTGAGCACTGGTTCTCCAAGTCCAGACCAGAAGCATTCGTTTCACCTGAGAACTTGTTAGAAATGCAAGTTCTCAGCTCTTCCTTTCCCAAGACCTACAAATTAGATACTGGCGTGGACACCAGGTGCACACCCTCACATTGCCTATCTGGCTTCTGTGTTTCATAAACGTCTTGTATTTTTCTGAGAAGAATTCTTGGATACAATTTATGTATCACATTTGATCTTTATAAGAAAAATAATGAAGAAAAACTGTGAAAATATTTATTATGACATCATGATATATATTACATGTATATAAAACTGAAGGTTTTAGAAACCCACGTCCTATCTTATCTGCAATGCTTTCGTAGGTATTCACAAACATGGTCAGAAAATAGAGACTGTAATGCCTACAGGTCAGGAAATGCTTGCACAAATGACACTCAAAGTCAGACTTCTTTGATTACTTGCTGTATGCAGAGGGCCAGGCTTGTAAGTAGCACTTAATCTTGTGCTTTGTTCAATGCTGCAAGAGCCCCTGGAGCTGGCATTTCCCTTCCAAAGTATGGGTTTGCTGGGAAGTAATGGAAGAATATTTTCTCCATGACCTTTGGATTCAGAGGCCCATTTAGTGTCTTGATGGTTCAGAGACCTGGAATGACTGCTGGCCAGGTTTTTCTGGGGCCTGCAATATGGGTTTAATCCCTGTGGGCACCAGTTAACTTGTTTGGAAACAGACTCAGAACTGTATCCCCAGCCAGTACTGGCATGCCTGCTGTGGGGACCAAATCTTGGGCCACGGATGGCTACATGACTAATATTTCACATGTTCTAAGATGATCAGTCCCAGGCACCCCTCTTGTTTCTGAAACAATGAAATCAAATCTGTACAGTGCAACATGACTTCCACATGTTCAGATACTTAGGAGCATTCTGAAAACTCACCCTGACAAGTTCTAAAAGTCTGTTCTTCCTCTAGGATTTTTGATAACGGTCGCTGCGTTTTGAGCTGTCCTTCACAGAAATTTGAATTTGACAACCAATGCCATCCATGCCACCACACTTGCCAAGGATGCCAAGGAAGTGGGCCTTCCAACTGCACCTTCTGTGGAGCAGGTGAGGGAGATGCTGCGGACCCCCTCTGCCTTGCCTCAAACCTGTTCTTTCCCCCTCACCACCCTGGGGACTGATCCAGATGCCATGTCTCCAGGCTGAGGGTTGAAATTAGACAGCTGTAGATTAGAGAGCCTGGCCTGTAGCACCCTGAAGGTTATGTTTGCTGTCAGGACATGTAAACCTTGTTCACATTATTGTAGAAGCTGACTCACTGCCCCCAAGGAGAAGAGAAAGGAGCTCCGAGACATCTTCCCAGGCACGGAGAAAGAAAGGGCACAGAAGCATGATGTCAGGTGGGAAATTGGCAGGAAAGCTAAGACTGGTTGAGGTTCAAGTAGAAAGCTAGGGAATTAGGCAAGACATTCCATCTTTTAGGAAACTCTCATATAAAAGGCCATGTCAGGGTCTTCTCAGAGCTCGGCTGTGGATTTAGAAGGTGTCAGAGCCAGCAGGAAGAAGGATTCATCTCCAATCATTACAAACGTGACCTTTAGTGTCCAAGCTTAACTCCTCTCAGTTTCCTGCCATCATTGAATTATATTCCATAGTCTCAAAGGTCCTGTGCAGCTTGTCCCTTGATTCCTCCCTCCCTAGCCTCATCTCACTCACACGCTGATACCCTACTTTGTCACCAGTAGACCAGATTCATATTATATTTGTTCTACAGAATACTCTAAATTTGACCCATGTTTATTTTTTAAATATTTATTTATTTGAAAGTCAGAGTTACAGAGAGAGAGAGAGAGAAAAAGATGTCTTCCATTCGATGATTCACTCCTCAATTGGCCACAACAGCCAGGAGCCAGGGGCTTCTTCCGGGTCTCCCACGTGAATGCAGAGGCCCAAGGACTTGGGCCATCTTCTACTGCTTTCCCAGGCCATAGCAGAGAGCTGGATCAGAAGTGAAGCAGCTGGGACTTGAACCAGCTCCCATACGGGATGCTGGTGCTTCAGGCCAAGGTGTTAACCCACTGCACCACAGCGCTGGCCCCCACCCATATTTAAATGTTGAGAAATTTTGAGTAAAAATCTGAGTATTTTTGTTTCTCTTGAGAGCTCAGAAGATGTGGCAACACTGGGCCTGCACTTCCCAAATCATTAGCTTTCTCTTCCTGCATAGTCCTCACCTGTCTCACTATCACCTCACCAGCTGTCTCACTATCCTGAGGCTGTCAGTTACCATAATATACTTACACCATTTTACTGGTGGGTTATTTGTCTATTCTTGCTTATAATAAAACCAAGGAAAATGAAAAAAATGCAGGTATCATGCATTTGCAGGAAAACAGTGGATAACACATTTCTTTATAAAAATTATATTATTTCTTTGTATTTCATATATAAGCAAATTATATCTCTGTCATATTTTATGTCTAGTTCACCATATTCTATTTCCTTTCTCATCTATAAGATGGTGATAGTGGTTGTATCTGTTAGAATTATTATAAAAGTTAAATGAAATTATGTGATATAAAATAAGAAAGCATTTAGAATAAGGTCAAGCACATAGCACTTAATGAATATTAAATATTCTTATGTTCATTTCTATTATTGTTCTTGTTGTTCTTTGTATCTGTTTGCTTCTCTGAGCATTTGAGTTTCTCTTGCCTTGAAGACTTCACTTGTGAGGTTTTCACCCAATCTAAATTTCCACACATAGCAGAAAATTAGAGTGAAGTTTAGTTGCTAAACAAATGTCTATCCCTCTAAGCATCCTGTAGCTACTTGGACCAATCTACACATAAAATGCCTAGCATTTCTGCTGTATTTCCTATTTGAAAAGCTATGTTGGGGCTAGTGTTGTGACTCAGTGGGGTAAGTCACAGGCTATGAGGCCAGCATCCCATATGGGCACCAGTTCAAGGCCCAACTGCTCCACTTCTGATCCAGCTGCCTGTTAACAAGCCTGGAAAAGTAGTGGAAGATGCCGAAGTCCCAGGGACACTGCACTCTCTTGGGAGACCTGGACGGAGTTTCAGGCTCCTAGCTTCAGCTTGGCCCAGTCCTGGTTGTTGTGATCATTTGAGGGGTGAACCACTGGATGGAAGATCTCTTACGCATTCTCTCTCTCTCTCTCTCTCTCTCTCTCTCCTCACAATCCAACAAGGGGGTTTGTCCTCATGTATTGCAAAATAAGAAAATGAATATTAGAAAACCTACCACAGGCCGGTGAAGAAACACCACTTCCAGCTCTAATGAGCAGAGGAGACTTCGTGGAGAAGATGTTGTTTAGCAATCCCTGACTTAGCAGATTCTCTGCCAACTACAGCTTGATGTCTCTAGTTCAGGAAGTATTAGTGCAGAAACTGCAGCCAAGACCATGAAGCGATGATGCTAGAAAAGATAATAAATGCCTGAAAATCCTCTGATCACGGACACACCTATCTACCCACAGAAGCCTCTCCCACCAGTGTGGGGGAGATTTCATCCCTTGTCTATTTGTAACTTCACTAAGATTTATATGTGAATCCTTATGACAATGTAAATCACCAGTCATGTCGGTAAAGATATGAAGATTTTCCTCTTGATTTATCTTCTATCAAATTAGACCCAAAACTAAGTACAATCAAGCACCCAGCAGCTACAATAAGCCAAATGTTGAAGTGAACTTCATGAAGTTTATTTTCAGAGTCATCCCAGCTTTCCTTACATCCTTTCCCACAGTCCTCTTCCCTCATGACTTCAACCTTCAACGTTCCTTTCCTTCTACAGGCCCACTGTCTCCACACTGGCCCGTCTTCTTTTCTTAGCTGCCAAGAAATGCTCTGGTAACAGTTCATTAGTCATCAGAACAAATGAAAGCCCAGCTGAGCCTCTTTTTGAGTTCCTTGCATTTTAATTCTTGTGTCATGAAATCCCAGGAAGGATTTTGGTGCCTAACAAAAATATCAGTTCTCTACCACTGGAACTGGGTTCTCCTACACGCTATTGTAAAAAATTAAATTTGGAGAGCCTGGGAAAGTATCCAAAAACTTATGCATAATATTTAATCTTTGAACTATCCGACTTATCACTCATAAGTAAATGAGCTGACGTATTACTCAAGCTATTAGAAATATGACAAAATATTAACATAATCCTGAGCCAATCTATGGAGAAATCTAGCCATGGTCAAGGCATCTAAGTGGCCTCTCCTTGTCTGATTTGCATGTTTTCAAAAACTGAGATCCCCCTCCAAACTTCATCCTTTAAGCCCACATTATAATACCCAGAGGGGTTCAAATAACAAAACCACATCTGAACAATAAAAACAGGATTGAAGAACATTTCCTCAGAAATTTTGCTATCATTTTTTAAGATTATTGATCCAGTTGGATATATTTGATAAACTGAATATTTCCAATTTCAAATTTACTCACTCATTCAACAAATACACATTTAGAACCTCCTGGATGTTGGACTGCCTCCAACACCTGGATCCTGAGTACATGTTCTGTGAAGGTGCAGGGGAGATAACACAACCACTGCAGGGAGGAGAAGTGAATTCCCCATTGCTCTCCATCAGACCTTCCCACCTGCATCTGACAAGTTGGTTACTCTTTTGTGAGGGAGTCATGGTAGCCCTGGGGTTTGCTAGGATTTCGTAGAGTGACTGAAAAAACATAACTGGGAAAGGCAATCTTTGCCATCTCCTGAGATCCCAGGTTCCACCAGATCAGAGTTCTGTGTTCCATGACCTTTATCTATAATTGTAGAATCACCAAATATGCATCACGTCTCCCCAACACACTCCTTCCCTTGCAGGGGTGGGAAACCTTTTTTTGATCAAAGGTCATTTGAATATTTATAGCATCATTCATGCATCATATAAAATTAACAACTTAAAAACTAGCCTGCTATAGAGTTTTGAATGTTGAGTCCCTCCTGGGGTTGCCTTGGCAGGTCAGACCAAATGATTTTGTAGGCCTTACACAGCCTGAGGGCCAAACATTCCTCACCCCTGCTAAAGGATATTGTTCTTCTAAATCTGACCTGGAAGGAGCAGAAATTTTTTTCCACCACCTCTGTCAAAGCTCTCTTTTTTTCTTAGTGCTACAAAAACCAGCAGACTTCAGAGAGGTAATCACAATCAGAAAATAGGTAGATGGTAAACTGAGAATCCAACCATGTGTTTTGAAAATTACATTTCAATCAGGGCTTTAATTAAATAAGAAATATTACTGTAAACTATTTGAAACTTCCATACGTACAGGTAGAAAAAAGTTGAATACCAGCAATTTCTGTGGTTCAATCTGACATACTGATACTGACTCAGTTTCTGGGTTTGCAACGTAAGGTTAGCACTGTCTTTATCTACACATCAGTGGTCTTGCATATTGAAGGTCAATAGTTTCAGGTCTTCATGGAAAAGATCATATGACGAGTGGACACTAGACGGAGAGTGTTCAGGCTAGGAGATCCATGAGCTTCAGAAGCAGGATCTTATGAGAAGTAAGATTCAGAGAAGATGGATGCCCTTGACATATTCATCACAAAATCCCCAGGAGAGTGGGAGTAATTTGAGTTACTACATATTAATCTTAATTTTGTTTTTATATTTGTAACTGATTATAATCCATTATAATTAATTGCATCTTTGTAACTGTTTAGCATTTTCCATTCCCTCCAGGAACAAATTACCATAGTTTGCCATAATGGGGGTACTGCTGATTCTTTCCTTATGGAGCCCAGCATTAACAGAAATTGGAAACCCTCGGGAATGCATGTAAAAGAGTCAAAGACACTTGGTCTAGTGCTTCAGTGAGCCTGTCTTCACGGGAATTGGCAGCTGGGCAGAAAATCACACCCGAGACAGTTAACACAAGCATGTAATCTTGATAATAATTCAAAACCATTTTAAAAGATTGTACTTTCATCAAGCATGTCTGTCATTAAGCACATCTTAATTCCCGTGGGACCTCTGTAGCCCTTCAAGTCTAAGAGGTTCCTTGGATATCGAAAGAGCCCTGGGGGAAGTTCAACACATTTTGAGTTATAGGTTTTCAGGGCATGATTTGTAGTTTTGCTAGTCACTCAAATACATAAAATACTGGAAAATTATTCCCTACAAGGAAAACTTTTCAACTACAAGGATACAGACACAGCACTTTGCACTCTATTGGTATAGTCTTGCTCACCCAGGAACAAAAGCACTCTGTCATTTTGTTTTTTAATAAAATGTCTTATATATCAACCTCATGGATAATTTGGGATATTTTCTCTTTTTTCATTTCCCCTCTAAATGGACAGACAAACATGGCCAGGAGCGCTTCTTGTACCTGGGGGAATGTCGACAGAGCTGCCCAGCAGGCCACTACCCTGCAAAGGGGCACACCTGCCTGCCCTGCCCAGACAACTGTGAGGTTTGCCATAGTCCACAGATCTGCACGAGATGCATGAGCGGCTACTTCCTGCTGCCCACCAACCACACCTGCCAGAAGCTGGAGTGTGGGCAAGGTGAGGCTGCACGGGGCCCTGCCAAGGAGGTGGGATGAAGGCTTAACCTCTGGATATCCTGCATTTGAGTTGCCTTCCTGGTTTTGATGTCACCACTTGGGATGACTTTCGTTGACTCCATGTATTAAGTGGAAACCTTGGTATAGCCGCTCCCTTTTTCCTTGCCATCAACTCTTTCCCTGAGTTTCCCAGACACAGTCCAAGGTCATGGGGATAGAGCTAATCACATCAGAAGTGACCTTGAGCAGAGGGGTTGTGGACAAGACAGGGTGGAGAGAAAACTGAATTGGAAGCCAAAAGTCCTGGCCCTCAGTTGTCTCCTTCCCAATTACCAGAGGCAAGACCCTGGGCAAAACGTCCAATCTCCCCATGTTCATTCATCAAAGGGAGAGCCTGGCACCAAGGCAGTGTTGCCGTGAGAAGCCAATGAGAATCATCCCACCTAAAACTACTTGAAAATGTGAAATTGTTTGGTGGATCATATGTGTTACTGTCATTGCACGCATTCTTATTTTAAATGGGAAGAGGAAAATTAAAAACAAAACTAAAGAGTTTTGTTTTTTTTTTTCTATGCAAGAATGCTGGTCTGCTCTGTGTTAAGAATTATGCTTGGTCTAATGCTAAATAGAGTCCCGAGACATTTTTTAAATGATGAAGGTGTGCTTTTCTGTTTCTTGCTAATGTTTGTGAATATACTGAAAGATTTAAAACTTAAAAAAAAATTCCAGTGGAACAGATAAAAGGGGAGACATAGGCTGTTCACTTACACATCCAATTCCATTTTCCCCAGAAGCAGAACTGATTTCTTTAATAAATAAAATCTACCAGCTTGACTTCAAAACCAGTTCCACGGCACAGAGTCCAACTTTGTTCCACTTGTACCCAATCAAGCTGATCCAATCTTTTAGATTAATAGGAGATAAAATGGTGAATGACACATATATGCTCAAGGATGGCTTTTGGCTTCACAGTTGCTCTATGATTTAGTTAAAAATCAACCACACACCAACATATTTTCGAAGTGATCAATTTGTCTCTGCTCAGTGGAAATGAGTTATGCTTTTCACTCTTCTTGCTGTGTAGGTGAAGTCCAAGACCCAGATTATGGAGAATGTGTGCCTTGTGAGGAAGGATGTCTGGGCTGCAGCGTGGGTATGTCATCCTCCTCTGTTACTTGATGAGTTGAAATAGCGATACTCTTTTTCAACATATCCTCATCCTGTCATTGTTTCAGTAGGGGGTGATGCTACTGTGGTCATTGTCAGTGTCACCATCAGCCCTCATTATGTAGGCTTACTCCAGCACGAAATAGGGTCACCATGAGGGGACACTGATTTGGGGGCAATAATTAGGTCTCTCGTCTTTATGAAACTCGAGTTGAGTAAAGGATGGTAATACCGTTTCCTCTGGCTGTTAGCTGGTTGTTGTGGGATGCCTCTAAGCAACCCCTTTTCAAGGTGTCTGAGACTCAACTTTTCAAGGTGGTAAATTTTGATGATGAATGATGAACAAACTCAAGTGAAGAAATGCCTAATTACTCTAATTCATGTGGTGTATGAAATTCAAAAGCTTGTGGGTAAAGAGATGGGATGGGATGGGAGGGTAGCTCTGTGGCTTAGTGGGTTAAGCCACTGCCCTGCAGCACTGGCATCCCATATGGGCACCAGTTCAAGTCTTGACTGCTCCACTTCTGATCCAGCTCTCTGCTAATGTGCCTGGGAAAGCAGCAGGGGATGGCCCAAGTTCTTGGGTCCCTGCTCCCATATGGGAGACCTGGATGAAACTCCTGGCTCCTGGCTTCGGCCTGGCCCAGTCCTGGCTGTTGTAGCCATTTGGAGAGTGAATCAGTGGATAGAAGATTCTCTCTCTCTCTCTCTCTCCCTCTCTCTATGTATGTGTGTATGTGTGTGTGTGTGTGTCCCTCTGTCTGTAACACTACCGTTCAAATAAATCTTTAAAGAAGAGGGGGGTTTCCTTTATAAAACAACTTGATTGTTTGAGGCCTAGGACAAGCCTTAGAGAAGAAAGATGGGAATCCCCATTATGCAAGGACAAATCCTTGTCCGTCTACCATATGAAAATATAATGGCCGGCGCCGCGGCTCAATAGGCTAATCCTCTGCCTGCGGTGCCGGCACCCCGGGTTCTAGTCCCGGTTGGGGCGCCGGATTCTGTCCCGGTTGCTCCTCTTCCAGTCCAGCTCTCTGCTGTGGCCCAGGAGTGCAGTGGAGGATGGCCCAAGTCCTTGGGCCCTGCACCTGCATGGGGGACCAGGAGGAAGCACCTGGCTCCTGGCTTCAGAGCCGGCCACAGCGGCCATTGGGGGGTGAGCCAATGGCAAAGGAAGACCTTTCTCTCAGTCTCTCTCTCACTGTCCACTCTGCCTGTCAAAAAAAAAAAAAAAAAAAGAAAATATAATAACCCCAAGTTCAGATCAGGGGCTCCCATGGTGTCTCCCCTCACACTCCTGGCTCTCTAGTGGAGAATGCAGGGGGTACAGGTTGTAAGCTATTGGATGTAAACTGAGAAGTAGAGAGCCCACCAAACCCCAGGATCATACATTAATGTAAGTCACACAACATACAGAAAATAAGTAGCATGTAGGATCTTTGAAACAAAACACAATTCAGATTCATGGAATAATTTCTCTTCATGGAGCCTCTATGAAACCCTGCGACTGGCTGACTAGTGCTTCTAAAACATCGGTGTGCACACAAACCGTGAGAGGAATTTGTTCAAATGTAGATTTGGATTCCCCAGTCTAAGGTGGGCCTGAGCTACCCTGTGAGGCCGGTGCTCTTGCTCTGTAGAGCACTTAGGAAGTTGAAAGGAGTTAGACTGTGCCAGAATGAAGCAGACTTTGTTTCCTTAATTCTTTCTTTTTCTTTCTAAAAAAAATTTATTTATAAGTCAGAGTTACACAGAAAGATGAGGAGACAGAAAGAGAAATTTTCCATCCACTATTTCATTCCCCAGATGGCCACAACAGCCAGGCCTGGGCCAGGTGAAGCCAAGAGCCAGGAGCTTCAGGGTCTCCCACGTGGATGACAGAGGTACAAACACTTTAGCCATCTCTGCTGCTTTTCTCCGGCCATTTACAGTGAGCTGGATTGGAAATGGAGTAGACAGGACACGAACCAGCACCCATATGGGATGCCAGCATCATAGGCAGCAGGTTTACCCACTACACCACAACACCAACTCCCATGTTTCCTTAATTCTTAAATAATGTACACAAGTGCAGGTGTTTGTCCTAGTTGGTTTAGTGACTAGTTGTGACATCCAGTCCCATGTCAGAGTGCTTAGGATTTAGCCGATCTGCACTCCTGATTCCAGCTTCCTGCTAATGTAGATCCTGGGAGGCAACAGATGATGGCTCAAATGCTTGGGTTCTTGCAACCAAGAGACAGAGTTTCTAGATCTTGGCTCCAGCCTGGTCCAGCCCAGCCATTGCAGACATTTGTGGAGTGAATCAGCAGATGGGAGTTCTATCTCTCTCTCCTTCTCTCTTTCTGCCTCTCAAATAAACAAAACTATAAAAGATTTTAAAATATTTTACATGAATTATAATGTGTCTGATGGCTGTTTCTTCTTTTTTAAAGATTTTATTTATTTATTTGAAAGTCAGAGTTACACAGAGAGGAAGAAACACACACACACACACACACACACACACACACACACACAGAGTCCTTCCATCTGCTGGTTCACTCCCCAAATGGCCACAAGGGCTGCGGCTTGTTCTCTGTCAGAGGATACACAAGACCAGCCCCTAGCAGTATTCATGAGACTTATGACATAGCTGTGTTCCTGTGCTCACAGGTGGGATTTAGCACAGCCAAAGGATACAAAATAAAATCAGCAAAGGGAAAAAGGCACATGAGGCCAATCTCAGAGGAGGTAAGACTCTGCTTCCAAGAGTCTGCCCCTGGTGGAGTCCCATGAGATGTGTTGCATTTTGCCTGCACAAGACCTAGCAACATGTCTAGGACATAATAAATGCATAATTAATGTACAGAAGATCCCTGACATAAGATAATTTGACTTATGATTTTTTGAATTGATGATAGTGTGAAAGCAATATCCATTCAGTAAAAAGTATCCTTGTATATTTTTTAACTGAATTCTGATCTTTCCCAGGCTGCTGATGTGTGGCAAAATCCTCTCTTTCTATGCTAGGCAGCAGCAGCAACAAGGGAGCCTACAGTCGGCCTTGTGGTCCCTGGAGGAAACAACTAATACTGCACAGGGCACCAAATTGCCAAGATTTTTTGGAAACAGATATTCTATAAATTACATGAGATACACAGCACATTATTATAAAATAGGATTTTTATTATTTAAGTCTGCTCAACTGTAGAACATGAAAAGTGATCTGACATATTAAGCTAGGCCAGGCTAAGCTAGGATGTTCAGTAGGGTAGATGTATTAAATGCATTTTCAACTTATTATATTTTCAATTTATAATGAGTTTATGCCATTGTAAGTAGAGGAGTATCTGTGTAAATATTTGTTGAATTTGAGAATTCAAAGCAGAGAGGCATGGCTCAGGATACCCAGGGATCTAGATTTGATGTTCTCTCTAATAAAACATTGCATACAACATACAACACAAAATAGAAATGGTTTTTCATAGAATAGTAGAACTATAAAGAGGAATTGAAGAGAATGGATTATTAAAGTTTATATTTTTCATTAAATATGCATACAAACTTTAAAAGATATGAATAATTTACTGCAGATTTTCCTGAGATTCTTCTTGGGAGAGGGGCATCCCCTTTAGAGAGAACTTAACTTTATTCCATTTCAGTCAGGTGTACTCATCTTTGGACCTGGTCTAGACAATCAGGAACTAGAGAAGGTGTAATCTGTCACTTGGAGAGATCTTACTTAATTTTTTTTTTTTTTGACAGGCAGAGTGGACAGTGAGAGAGAGAGACAGAGAGAAAGGTCTTCCTTTGCCGCTGGTTCACCCTCCAATGGCCGCCACGGCCGGCGCGCTGTGACCGGTGCACCGCGCTGATCCGATGGCAGGAGCCAGGTGCTTCTCCTGGTCTTCCATGGGGTGCAGGGCCCAAGCACTTGGGCCATCCTCCACTGCACTCCCTGGCCACAGCAGAGAGCTGGCCTGGAAGAGGGGCAACTGGGACAGAATCCGGCGCCCCGACCAGGACTAGAACCCGGTGTGCCGGCGTTGCAAGGTGGAGGATTAGCCTAGTGAGCCATGGCGCCAGCCCTTACTTAATTCTATGTAATAATTAGCTGTTAGAAATATGGGGGATTTTTTAAGATATTTTTATTCCTTTTAAGATATTCCATGTACTATAGACAAACGTGTCTTTTTTTACCTATTAAGGAAAAACTCAAACTCCAGATTGGGATCTCATTTAGTTCCTGGGTGAACCAAAATATTTGTCATTCCAAGGAAAGAAAGCTGAACATATGACCTTGATAACGATTGTTTTCTCTGGAAGAATGGTGAACTTGATACTCTGAGATGGAATAAGAGTATTTTTATTATTTTGGGATTAGATTCATCTTCTTTATTAGTCTGTATACAAACAGATAACATTTTATATAATACCATTTTGTTCCAAGAGTATTTCATGGAAATTCTTTGTCTTTCTAACTGGTATTGTGAGTGGATATTTTAATTAAGGTAAATCTAAGTTTTTTAGATTATATTTATTCACTAATTGAAGGGAAAGTGAGTGAAATATTTTTTAGCAAATATTTGGAGGCACTCTTTTTTTAAATTTTATTTAAGATATACAAGAATATATATCATATATACAGATTTAGGAACACAGTGACACTTTCCCCTTACCATCCCTCCTGCCCATGGTCAAACCCTTTCTCCTACCCTACATTCCCACTCTTAGTTTTTACAAAGATCTATTTTCAGTATGCTTAATGATCATATAATTAACCATACTCTAAGTAAAAGAGTTCAACAAATAGTATGAAGAGAAAGAAAAAAAATGTTCCTCAACAGAAGAGACAAGGGCTGTAAACAATCATCAGATCTCAAAATGCCTAGTTCATGCCAATACATCACATTTCAGGTACTCTATTAGTTACCTAGGATCAGGGAAAATATATGGTATCTGTCTTTTTGAAACTGCATTATTTCATTAAGTATAATGGTTTCC